CCAGCAGAAGCCAAGGTAAGCAGCGTGCTAGGCTGCTTGGTGACCGAGCAGGGTGCTTGCTCTGGTCGTGGGTAGATCGTGGGTAAGCCCGTGCATGGGTCGTGCCCGAGTATGTCGACCACACGCCAGTGCGTGTTGCGCACACACCTGGTCTTAGGCATGATCACCACCTCGTGTCGAGTCTAGGACGTTACCCGCGGGTGAAGAATGGGCAAGTGGCCGTGAGATGTCCAGCTGCTTCACCTGCTTGGGCGTGCCTATCTAAGGGTCGGCCTGACCTAGTAAGCAGGGGACGCGAGAAGTTCTGCTTTGTCCGAACGTAACTTCTTTTCACCACAAATTTTCATTGCAAACGGTAGCCTAGTTCGTGATCGTCCCATCCGATCAGTCCATCGGAACCGAGTAGCCCATTATCTAGTCCACCGCGAACCATAGAGTAGTTTCGCCGCGAGCCTTGTCGAGCAGGTTTGGGAAAACTTAGGGTAAGTTTCCCGTGATCGAACCTTACCATTTTCAAAGTGATTTTTTGTGCTGATCATGAATCTAATCTTAGTTTCTTGATCCGATGGCTCGACCTATCTTAAATTCGTAGGTTCAACTTCGGCTAAGCTCCAAAAGATCTAGAGATAGTCTACGGCAAGCTCAGTTCCAAGTTAGGTAAGATCCGTGGGCTTTACCCTCAAATTTCCCTTAAGAAAACTCTAAGTCTTGCCTTAGTTAATTCGTGAACCTTTGGAATAGATTCCAGTCCAAAGGCTAAGGCAAAATCGTTCGTAAAAGTCTAAGGCAAACGCCCGTAGAAACCTTTAGCAGAACCGCGATAATTCGTTAAGTCAAAGGTGAGTCTCGGTGATGCTTGTTGTATGTTTAATTAAATTACAAGTGAGGTTCGTTGCTGCGTGATTTATATTTTTGCTAAGTACTTAAAAGCTTTAGCATGTGAAAATTACTAGGTTGAATTGTTGATGCAAAGTTATAAGTTTTCTTATAACTTAATTTGTTAGTAAAACTTATAAATTATGATGATCGCGGTAAGACGTTCCCTTGAAAGCCATGACTTAGCTAGTACGTTGAGTATTAGTCCAAGTACATGAAGACACGGAGAGACGGGATTGCAGCTTTTGGCCGTGTACTGCATGACGATGCAGAATTTCCGGTGCGGATCCTGATATACATAAGGCCATTGGAACGGTGAAGGATCTTAAGTCTTTAGCCTTTGTGGCTTCGGGCTGATAGATACCTTGTGATTTGACGTGGAAGGAAATAGTCTACGCGAAAGGCCTTATATTGACATTGCATAACTTATCGCATTTTTTTTAATTTGTTTGCTTGCGTGTTGATTGTTATTTTAGGTTTGGTTGAGAATTGATTATTGAATGTTAGGGGAGCCTAGACTCACTGAGCAACTAGTGCTCAGGACTCTACTTGTGTTGAAGGTAACCATTAGCGGGTAGACCACCGGGGGCCAAAGGAACGTTAGGAAATTAAACAGTAGATTTTCTTGCTTTTTGTAAATGAATAATGTTTATTATGTACATGATCGTTTTGGAGTGTTAGACTCACAATTGTATATGCTTGTATCACGTTTAAAACTTATGTATAAATTATATATAAAAAAAAAATCGAGTTTGCATAAATTCGGGTTTCATGTGATACTAGTCCTTGTCCGGACGAACTAACCATTGCGTATGTCTCGGGTTGGCAAACCTTGAGATGTATCTAATGGGGACGAACGCTTAGAAGTCTTGTCTAGGGAATTTGGATATGTTCCAGGAATCTCTGACCGGACATCTAAGTATTCGTCAGTAGCGTTTCCGATCTATAAATGATCGGGGGCGTTACA